GGGGACGCTGATGCCCCGCCCCTTCCACTTGAGGCCCCGCCCCTTCTGGCAGCCAGAGCCGGCCCCCGTACTGGTAAGTGTTGAAAGTTACTTTCACACCTGAAAGCAGGCCCTAGGGCTTGTGTGAATTAATTCTAGTTTGAACTAGAGCATATCCCTGTTTCGGATCCGATGCTTGCACCCAAACATTCGGATGCAATTTCTAGTCTTAAAAATGAAAAAGGCCAGGAGCAGAGGTTGGGCTGATTAGTGCGGCTGAGGTGAAGATTTTGAAAGCCCAGTGCATGTGCCATCAAGTGTTAAGCATCAGCAGGAACTTCAAAGTTGCCGCACAGCCTGGAGGTCACTCTTCAGTGCCATGCTTCCTGTTGTCTCGTGCGCGCAGAGTTGCAGAGATCGAAGGGCTGTCTATGTTGCAATCAGATGTATGATTGCAGCTCAGTCAGCAGACTTGCGCTGGCTGTAATTTAGCTCATGTGGCTAAAAATAACAGGGAAGATGCGGTGGCACAAACCCTAGTCTGGGCTAGCAACATGAATAAGTAGCCAGACTCCTGGGTGGGTTTGTGCAACTCATGCTGCATTGTGTGCTGTTATGTTCACAGTATACACATAGAGAAACTGGATACAAACATAAAACACTCTCTTGCTGGAAGGTTAAGAGCATAAGAACGGCCATACTGGGTCAGAACACAGGTCCAGCTAGCCCAGTATCCTGTCTTCTGACCGTGGCTAATGCCAGGTGCCCCAGAGGGAATGAACAGAACAGGTAATCATCATGTGATCCATCCTGTCGCTCATTCCCAGCTTCTGACAAACAGAGGCTAGGGACACCATCCTTGCCAATCTAATAGCCATTGATGGACCTACCCTCCAGGATTATATCTAGTTCTTTTTTGCAACTTAACACTACTTTTATTCTTATAATCCACAACAATACTACCCAGTAACCAAAACCAGAGAGAGAGACAAAGCAAGCTGCTCCCTAAGGCAGTGATGACCAATTCACCCTGTAATGCTTGCAGAAGAGGTGCCAGCTCATGCCAAGGCCCTTGCACCTCACTGAACAAGGCATAGCTGGAAACCAGTCTGGCTCACCTGTGGGTTAGCACTGTTAAAATAGATGTTAACTTTATAAGAATGTGTTTAGGGTTTAGACTTGATGAAATGCTTGTAGGATGCTGCATGTATTGATCTCATCATGTCTGCTTTCCATGGTATAAAGTTATACTGAGTGTTTGCATTGTAAACTTCTGTAACTGGGTAACTCGTCGGAAAGGAAAGAAGCATTAATTAATGGAAAGAGTTGATCCTGGGCACCAGAAGGCCCACTGAAACCAAATGAGCCAATGTGAAACATCAAAGGACAAAGACTTTCTTGATTGCCCCCACCCCCATACTGATGAAGAGGAGACGGGCGCCATCAGTTTGAACTGTGGAGGAAGGAACTAAAAATCCCTGGCCAGAAGGAACTGTCCCCCTATGCTACTCGACTCAGGGAGAGGCCAAGACTTCTAAGCATAAGCATGGGATTCCCAGCCGCTCAGCTTGGGTTAGCCCTAAAGGACACAGAGCTTGCTCATTACAGCAGCTTCTAGCACTTTTTGAAACCTAATACTCAACTCATTGACTTACCTGCTTTAACCTTATAAATACCTCTCATTTCTTTTCTTAGTGAATAAATCTTTAATTTATTATATGACTGGCAACAAGTGTTGTCTTTGGTTTGAGCTCTGAGGTGCAATTGACATGGAGTAAGTGACTGGGCCTTTGGGACTGGGAGTAACCTGAATATTCCTGTGATTAGTGGTATAAGGCAGTGGCTCTCAACCTTTCCAGACTACTGGGTTCCTTTCAGGAGGCTGATTTGTCTTGCATATCCCCAGTTTCACCTCCTTTAAAAACCTACTTGCTTACAAAATCAGTGCACTGTGACACTTCTGTATTTTTATGTCTATTACCGAAAAATTGCTGACGCTCTCATTTTTATCATATAGTTATAAAATAAATCAATTGGCATATAAATATTGTTCTCACATTTCAGTTTATAGTGTATATAGAGCAGTATAAATAAGTCTCTGTATTAAATTTTAGTTTGTACTGACTTCACTAGTACTTTTTACGTAGCCTGTGGTAAAACTAGGCAAATATCTAGATGAGTTGATGTATCCCCTGGAAGACCTCTGTGTACCCCCATGGGTATGTGTACTCCTGGTTGAGAACCACTGGTATAAGGGGCCATCTATCACACAGGCAGGCTTGCCTGGGTAGCAGGACAGAGGAGTGCCCAAGGGGACTGCCTGTGACGCCCGTGGTAAAGCTGTTGTAGTGTTTGAGGAGTTCACTTGACACCAGGTTGGTGAGATCTCAGTGTAGAACACACCCAATGTGGGGGTTGTGCCCTGCTTCTTAACAGTCTGCCCTGAAGTTGGTCCTTATGGCATGAGCCACTCCAGACAGCTTGACACACACCCTTGTTTTAGACTGGCTTTTTGCCGTCTGACTCTGCATACGTCCCTGCAGAGCCTCTCTAGCCTGCAAGCAGGAGCAGGGGAACCCCCCACCCCCCTCCACACACATTCTTAAAGTGAGAGCTTGCAATTCCGACACAGCCCCCACACATGCCACGACGTTGTCACTGCTATTTTTAGCCATACAAGCTCGATTAAAGCTGGCACGGGTTTGCTTCCCTGAACTGCAGCCACGCCTCTGACTGCAATGTAGACGTATCCTGGGACAAAGAATGCAGCCAGGCTCGCTAAGTGGGGCATCAGGACTGGGTTGACTTCAGATGCTGTTCCTTGTTTAGCTGAGTATGCGTTACCCTGAAGCTGGCCTCAATTCTCTTGGAAACACTGCACTGTAAATATCATTGCAGAAGTCAAGGTGTGAGGTCACGAGCATGTTCCAGAAATCTTGCTGTATCAAAGTTAAACTTGGGGCCCTGTGAGATGTTTATGAGGCGAGGTCTGCACACGGGGAATGTGGCAGGAGGAAGAAAGCTGATATTCAACTCTAAACATAAGGGACCCTTTAAAAACTTGCCAGTGTTGTCTTAAATTAACTTACTGTACACCAGTATTGCCAAAAATTCCGTAAATACTTAGCACTGGGGCTACCTGGGAATACTGCAAATCCTGGACTTATGTCCCGTGGGCGCCATTCGTAAGGAGTGACCACTACAGTTGTGACAATCAACCTAGAAAAGAGGGCAGAGAAAACGAAGGCATTTGGGAGGGGTCTGAAGAGAAGTGAATATTTAATCGGAGGTAATCGGCTTTCATCCTTGAGGAAACAGGGACAAGACAGGGTTATGGATATACAGGGGAAAGGAGAAATACAACGGCGTGTCACCAGCATATAAAAGATATCACGGGCTGTGAGCTGAATTAATGTCCCTGTGGGGAATTAGGTTATAGTGAGTCCTCCTCCTATTCAGCTTCACTGTCTCTGGCATCTTCGTTCTAGGTTTTTGGAAGAGTTTTTGTCTGCCTCAGTTACCTGCCGTTAGCTGGGGCAGGGAGGGGTGACGGCCAGTAATTCATCAGTAGTGAGTTACAGAGAGGGGGCAGGAAGAGGAAAATGCCACAACAGCAGCTTGCTCTGCCCCATCCAATGCCCGCTGTCAGTGACTGGTCCTGGCTGAGCAAGCTGGGCTATGGTAATTACTGACCCGCGCCGTCACTCGGAATCGTTTCTGAAGAGCGCATGGTTCAGAGAAGTGTCTCCTCCCCATTTTTGTCAACTTTAAGCAATTCTAAACTCCCTACTTCCAGGCTGGGTTGGAATCACAAACACCACCACCACCACCACCCAGAGGGAGATTTTACACTTGGTGTCTAACCAAGATTTGCAGTCTGGATAAGCATCCAAATTTTTCACGGCTTATCAAAACTAGACAGAGCTACATCTCTCTTGCTAGTTGAGACCAGAGAACAGAAGATGGCACATTCCCAGTAGAGAGTAGGGATCAGCGTTAGCGCCAGTTGCTGATCTATCCTCTATTTTCAAGGCCAGAGTATGGGCAAGACCATGACGGAAGCAGCGTCGTCAAGTCTACTAAGAATCAAACTGGGAGTCAGGAATGCCTGCAGTCTAACCCTAGCTCTGACACTGATTTACTCTGTAGCTTTGGGTAAGTTACTTAATAATACCTAGCTCTTAAAGATCACTTTTTCTGCATAGATCTTAAACCACTTTACAAAGGAGATCAATATCTTTGTCTCCATTTTACAGATGGGAAACTAAGGAGCATGAAGGTAAAGTGGCTTGCCCAAGGTCACCCAGCAGGCCAGTGGCTGAGCCAGGAATAGAACCCAGGTCTCGGGCCAGTGCTCTAACCACTTGGCAATGCTGCCTCCCCTTCATGAATGGATTTTTATCCTCCGCAAACCCCTTGTAGGGTAGGGAAGCATTGTCCCGTTTTACAGATGGGGAACTGAGGCACAGAGCAGATTGAGTGTCCTGCCCAAGGTCACACTGGAAACCAGTGGTTGAGCTGGAAATTGAATCCCAGTGTCCTGAGTCTCAGTCCAGTGCCCTATCCACTAGACCTTTATAACAGGACAGCTTCATTGAACGGGGGTGTTTTATTGTAGATGGGCCTAACTCCGACCGCCTAGGTCTGAGTACCCCTGAGTGTGGAGGAAGTTCATATCTTGACCTGGATCTGAACTCTGTGGCTGGCCCATAGCTCTGGGAAGGGTCAAACCATAACCCTGGACCTGAAACCACTTGAGCTTTGGGGTCCATACGCTGTGTCTCATGCCCATCTCTGGCTTTCACTTTAACAGAGAGTGTTTCCGAGCACTGAAGAAGCAGCACTTTGGTTTGCTGTCAGCTCTAAGAGCCCTGCGTTTTGTCTCTCTTTGACTGGAAGGAGAAAGCTAAGACATAGTAATACGGTAGCTGTGCTACTTCCACTGGGGCTGCTGACTCCCAGCCAACCTGACAAACCACTGCTGAGATTTGTCCATTGATTGTGGCTGTTTTTCCTTGCAGAGCTCAATGAACGATGGAGAATAATGATTCTGTCTGATTTTCTCCACACCGGCCAGTAGCTTGCAAACAGCTCAGTGGGCAGAATGCCACGAGCCATCGTCTGGCACCAAATTCGAGATGAAGGGTGCAAAGCACCACATCAGTGAATGACTTCGCTTCGGCCAAACAACACTGCGATTTTCATCTAGTCCACGATTAACCTGTTCCACGGTGGGACATGGGACATGTCTGAAATACTATATCTGCCTGCCTCTAGCCCAAGGTTCCTTTGTGAGATTGGACTTCACCATGCGTGAGCAGATGCTTCCCGGAAGAGGTATGCATTGAAACACACGACAGCAGCCATTACAGCTAGGGATGTGACCTTTGCTGCTAGACAGGGTCGCTACCTGAAAGGAAACCTCAAGGGGAAAATTGTGGCTGTTGGTGAGTCAGCTACGAATCAGTGCCCCAGCCTGGTGTCAGCTGGCGCTGTGCTGTCATTCAGACGCGATGGACAAACTGCAGGCTGGAGCTGGGCAAAGTTCAGTGGGTCAGGTATGCCTGGACCTTGGGGAACTTTATTTCATGGGGCATTCACATCCACTGAATTTCAGGCTTCAATGAATCCCCAAAGCAAAACTTGGGTGACACCGCCAATCACCAATGCTTCACTAGCGCACCTAGAGAATGACTGAGGCGGGGACCGCAAAGGTTGGCCCAGGGGAACTGCTGGGTAGCAAACCAGGGCTCAGTTAAGGGTTTATTTAAAAATGTTGGCACAGTTCTCCTCCAGCACGACTGACTTGGTTGTTGCCTGTTTCCCTAGCACCCACTGTTGTCATTGCTTCATTAACCTCTCTGGCCAGCATATTAGCAATCTATACAACTAGGGAGGTGTAGGCACCATTTGGACTGTGCACCTGGCTAGCATTGCTGGCTGGAGTGGAGGGGCAGGGCAGGGCCCACCTTCCCCTTAGCCACTGAGCTTTCTCTTGGGGTGGCTTTTGCTTGCGGGAGCGATGCATGGCCACAACCTGTGTAATTGTGATTTTCTACTATGCAACCTTAATTTTGCATTAACGTCATTTGATCCTTGAAATATGCAGTTTGCAGTGTTTGTCGAGCATTTGGGGTGAAAGGCCCTGTGTGGATGTCTGTTGTTATGGTAACCGGACAGAAGAATTGGTGGATGGGTTGGTAAGGGGGTTGTTTGATATCATGAAACCATCATTCTAGTTAAGCAGGTTCACTTCATTGGGACACTGACGCTTGGAGTAACCGGTGGTGGATTTCAAGTAGGTGTAACGAGGCTGGTTCTGGTGGGACACAACTGAGAGTGTCAATTCAGGACAACTTGCTTAAAGCAGGGCAGTTACAGCCCAAGGCTGGAGTCCCTTTACTATTAAAGCAAACCAAACCAAACCAGCCCAACAGAGAAGACTTTGGTTTTACCCCACTGGCTAACCACAAGTCACACAAGCAATTCCCTTAGACACTCCAGTTTCCCAGTATCCCCACCGGTGCCACTCGTTATGGGGATGAATGGTTATGAAAACCAATACCCCAGTAAAAGAAAAAGGTTCTCCCAATCCCAAAGCCCCAGACCCAGGTTAATGTACAAATTAGATCTTACCCACAAATCACGCTGTTTAGAATCTAAAATCTAAAAGTTTATTCATAAAAGGAAAAAGAGATAGATGAGAGCTAGAATTGGTGAAATGGAATCAATTACATACAGTAATGGCAAAGTTCTTGGTTCAGGCTTGTAACAGTGATAGAATAAACTGCAGGTTCAAATCAAGTCTCTGGAGTACATCCACAGCAGGGATGGGTCATTCAGTCCTTTGTTTAGAGCTTCCGTTTGTAGCAAAGTCCCTCCAGAGGTTAGAAGCAGGATTGAAGACAAGATGGAGAGGAGGCAGCTGCCTTTTAAAGTCTCTTCCAGGTGTAAGAACACCTCTTTGTTCTGACTGTGGAAAACTAAAGCAAAATGGAATTTGGAGTCACATGGCCAAGTCACATGTTCATGCATGACTCAGTACTTAGCATGGCTGTCGCCTGTAATCTTGAATGTTCCCAGGAAGACTTCTTATGTGGATTGGAGTCTCCCAAGGTCTATTGTCAGTTAAGTGTTTCTTGATTGGGCACTTAACTTGAAAACTTCTTTCTCAAGAAGCTGACCAAATGCTTTACTATGGCTAATTCAGAATCAAAACACATCGATATACAAATACATAGCCAATATTCATAACCTCAACTACAAAAATGATACACACAGATAGCATAATCATAATTAGCAAATCATAACCTTTCCATAGACACCTTACATGACAACCTTTGTACAATACTTGATGCAAATATACAACAGTGGTTGCGACAATGATTTATACGGTCACAGGTTATGTCAGTAACGTCACAGTAGGGTCTGGTGATGAGTGAAGCTCAAAACATTTAGAGGCTTGGTGTGTGGCAGGGAAGCACCAAAAGCTTTGCATGCTTATCTGAGCCTTTTTGTTCTGTGCCGTAAATACAAGACTGTTTGGGTCCGCAAAACAGGGCCGTAAATCTCCAAGAACTGGCTTTTTCATGAGGTTTCCAGTTGTCCTGCAAATGCCATAAGAACCGTCTTTCTCAGTGTGTTTGTTTCCAGCTGAAAAGATAATAGAATAACAGGTTGGTTTGCTCTATCCTACGCTGGTCTGGGATGCATTGGCAGAAGTACGTTGGGGAAATTTACATGGAACTGATGTTCTGTCTGGGATTGAGGAGAAAGTGAAGAAACACAGGAGCGGCTGGTCTGTGTGAATTCCTGCATTATATCTGGCTCTGGCAGAGACTAGTGATCCCCTTACTTTTACAATCGCACGCAAATTTAAAAGAAAAACAGCCATAGGGCAGGTTTTCTAGAGTTCCATTCCAGACTGCACATAATCACAGCCCTAATATTGCACCTGTCCTGCAGGAAGGCAATGCCTTTTTTTAAATACAGGAGCTCAGTGTTATTCAATGGGATTCACCCTGCAGCGAAAGAAACCTCCCTGCAGGACAAATGAATTTCAACGTTCCAGGGCCCTATTGCCATTGTTCTTGCAAATTAGGGAGTTACCAAGGGCTATAGCCAGCCTTGGCCTCTTTTGCACTCAGTTATTCGTGAGTACATACATCAGGCACACAACTGCAGTCCTGAACACCCCACAAATTAAATCCTGGGTGGCAGTGACTTGCAAATATTTAAAGCCCTATTCAAGGAAAGCACTTAAGCATTTCTTAAATCCATCGCTGTTTAGAGGCATACTTAAGTATGTGCTTAAGTGCATCCTGGTGTAGGGATGCTTTCCTGAATTGGGGCCTTACCTGCTACTTGTTGCAAGCAGGAATGTTCCTGCTGCCAGAATGAATCTGACCTCTACTCTCTATTCCCTCTGCAGGTTTATTCCCCCACTGCCATAAAATTCCATCCTGTTTGGTTTCTGAGAGCAGAACCAGCCTGGTGAAATGAACAGCAACCATCAGCGTGACAGCTGCTGAAACCATCCACCCTGTTAGTATAACCCCGATGCACAGGCAGCAGCATGTATGCAGCCAACCCGACCCATTGGGGCGATTTATGAATATAACCACAGCAAGGAATGAAATCACCCATCATCCTTCAGGGTTTCTGTGCGAACTGTAAAAGAGATATTTTAAAGCAATTTTTTTCATATTTCAATTGTAATAACTCAATATCCAGAAGACAGACTTAAAAAAATCTACCGGTTTCAAGGTGGGTTAACAATGTGCAAAGCACATGCCCGAACACGTGTTATTAGCAATAAAAAAAAGTCCTTTATTTGCCTCCCTTGAGTATTTCTTTCACACTCACTTTTTTAACTATCTTTATTTGTTTCCCTTCTCTCTCTCTCTTTCCCCCTCACAACCAGATCACTTAAACAAAACAAAGTTTTATTTCATTCCAGTCAGGGACTTCTGCCAAAATCTGGGCCTCTCTTTATATATATACACATACAGACCAGTGCTGAAAACACACACAAATCCTCCCCCCACCCTCCCCCAAGCCCGTGGGGTGACAGATGAACAAGACACAGGGTGAATTATCCCAATGGCGCCGTGAAGGAATGGCTTTTACTGGCAGAGGTGAATGTATTTTTGCAAAGGTTTAGCGAAATTCCTCTGTTTCTCTTGGATTTTTTTCATGGCTGGACGTTTTAGTTTGGAGAAGAGCTTGATGCCCGATGTTTCAGATGTCACAGGCAAAAGTTTCCCCCATTTGTTGCTTTGAATCTTTTATTTACAGTGTTGATCCCTGTGGTATAATTTACACTAATTCTGCAGCAGAAATCTCATTCACTGCCACTTTCACTGCTAAATATGCAACTGAGATTGGCTCTACTGATATAAGAGGTCAGATCAGTGAGGAGAAATCATAGAATGTCAGGGTTGGAAGGGACCTCAGGTGGTCATCTAGTCCAACCCCCTGCTCAAAGCAGGACCAATCCCCAGACAGATTTTTGCCCCAGATCCCTAAATGGTCCCCTCAAGGATTGAACTTACAACCCTGCGTTTAGCAGGCCAATGCTCAAACCGCTAAGCTATCCATCCCCCATTTCCAGGGCTGCAGTAACTTACTTTGCCCCCCATTGCACTCTGTATTTCACATCCACTTGAGGCCCTTGTACTATTGGTTTTGACTCTCCCATGCATACAGGCTTTTTCCATAGCAGATTGTACCATTTGCCCATTCAGTCTGGTACCCTACCCCTCCCAATGTCCAGCATCTGATGGTTCAGAGCAAGTTGCTACATTCTCAGAATGCACCCAGCCAGCTGTGGAGAAACATCTTCTTCCTGGTCCCTTGAGGTGATGGGCATGAGGAGCGGTGGCTGTGCGGTCTGTCAGGCAGGCTTTCCTGAGCTCTTATTCCACTGCTACCTTCCCCACTGCGGCCTCAGACCAGTCACCTAACTGCTACAGGTCTGGTGTTTGCTTTCAGTTAGATGATGTAAGTCGGGCTTAACTCTGCTGAGGTCAATGGTGTTACACTGTGGTAAACCAGACGTGAGAGCAGGCTCTGGACCTATGGCTCCATTTCCTTATTTGCAAATTTTGGATACTACTACTACTATAAAAAGGGCTTTGAGGCTGATCCAGTTCCCCAGGGGACCACTTACGTGGGCATTCGATTGGGTCCTTTGGTAGGGCTAATTTGTTACCATGGGTAAGCTAAGAGCTAGGTATTAGTCTGAGTACCCTTAACTTAGCGTACACACACACCTGCCCTAAAAAACAAAAGGTGTTTTCCACAACATATTCGGGAGTTTTCACTTGACACATAAGCACTAAGGAGACTTGGTTTCGCAAGGCAGCTGAATTGGAGGGAAACACATACTCAAAGACAAGCACCATATGATACTTGTCAGTAACAGGATCATCGTTCCATACTGGTGCCAATACTTGAGCGTGAGAGCTTAGTGCACACACTCGCTCGCTGAAAGTCAGGTGCTCAAACAGTGGTGGAAAACGAATGCATGAGAAGGGCACGAGGGCGTGCGAAGCAACTACATTGGTCGATCTGAACATAAACTCCTGAGAATGTTTGGGCGAATTCGCCTCGTTCTGCAAGTCCTGCAGGGCTGGAACTTCACTTGCTCATCACTCACTGTCTGGGGCAGATTTTCAAACGAATTCAGTTCCCATTTAGGCATCTAACATTGGTTTAGGTTTCCAAATCAGCTCCCAGTTGTCACACTCACGGCCAGATTTTCACAAGGAAATTGTGCTGAGCTCTTTTGAAAAATCTGTCCACCTATTCCGTTCCCATTTAGGTACCGGGACTCTTTTTGAAAATCTGACCCGTAACGTCTCTGACCCTGTGAACACTGACTGCAAACTGGCTGCTGGCAATTTTACTCTCTTGCCAGCTAGACCTGGAGCAGGTCTGGGGCTTTAAAAAGCCGGCAGCCAGTCAGGTGCTAGAGCAATGGAAGGAGAATTTGAGAAAAATTCTCAGTGTGTAGATGCATGCAGCCTCCGTGCTTTGGTTTCCCCATCTTTAAGATGGGGACAATGCAAACCTACCACTGCTGCTTGGAGCACAGAAATAATCTCTTCTCCTTCCTTACACTGCCTACCCTTCTAGCTCCTCACCATTATTTTCCTTTCCTCTCCCTCCAATTCCTCAGCTCCCCCTCTCACTTAGTCTCCCTTTCCCCTTCCTTTCTTTTTCCTACTCCCTTGCTCACATTTACACACACTGTTTCTCCTCCCTCCACCTCAGTCTCCATTAAACCCTCTCCACCATGTAGCTGGCAAGACATGTGCTGATCATCCTGCTCATTAACTTCTATGTTATATCCCTGTCCCCCGCCCATCATCTGTGCTTGTGCATTTTCGGGTCTGAGTCGTCGCCCACGGAAATCAATGGCAAGACCCCTGTTGGCGGCAGGAGGCATTGGTTCAGGCCCTGCGTTTGCCTGGCAGCCGGTACAATGGAGCCACGATCCCAACAGGTACTTTTGGGTTTCGCAGCAGTGTTAAGAATTGCTCGGCTGATTGCCTAAATCAGGCACGCAAAGAATTCCTGTGCAGCAGTGGTCACAGCGCAGGGGGCGGAGGTCTCCATTGACAGTGCCTTTGCACTTCTGAGGCTATGGCAGCGAAAGCGACCTTGTTTAAGGGGATGGGACACTGTGAAGCTTAATTGATTCACATTTGCCCAGTCCTTGGGTCGAAGGGACTTCAGAAGTGTCCAAAATGACCGTCAATGGCTCATTGCAAGTTTTCTGAGCAAACCGTTTCATAAGAAGGCTGACTTTAGATGCCAGGATAGAGTGGAGGAGATGGGGGGGTTGAATTACTCAGTTTTTATTCCAACCAATATAACATGGGGCTGGAGCAGGGGGTGCCTGTTGCTAGAAGGAATGTCAGGACGTGGAAAGGGAACGCAGCTTATTTAACAGACCATGTAGTCACCAGGTGTTCCGGACTCAATCCGTGGTCTGAAGATGAGGGGCTTCTAGGATCAAGTGGAATCGCAACGTTGTCAGAGTTGCAAAGCGTGTGAGGAGCAGGGCCGGCTCTAACTTTTTTGCCGCCCCAAGCAACAACAACAAACGCCCCGCCATAACAAACCCCCCACCCCCCGAGTGCCACCCCACCGAACCAAAAACAACCCCCCTGAGCGCCACCCCACTGAACCAAAAACAACAACAAAAAACCCTGAGTGCCGCCCTGCCGAACCCCCCGAAAAAAATACCCCCGAGCACCGCCCCCCCGAAACAAAACAAACAAACAAAACTCTCAGCGCCGCCCCGCCACCCCAAGATTGGCCGCCCCTTACAAGGTGCCGCCCCAAGCACGTGCTTGGTCGGCTGGTGCCTGGAGCCGGCCCTGGTGAGGAGTGAAGTCGTGGAGGAGGCAGCCTGGAAAGTTGTTGACCTCAGCCACACTGACTCTGAGGGAAAGTAAAACACCCCGAGGAATTCTGATTGGAATCCTAGAACCTACGGAGAATTTTACTGCAGAAGAGCAGGAGTGGTTGGGAGAGACAGCAATTAAAATTCATCGTTGTTAAGTCTAAGCAGCATTAAAGGGCCACAGCGGCCACACGGGCCTGAAGGGAAGGGGAAGATTAGCATAGGAAGGAGAGTTGGGAGGCCTCTGAAAACAAGCAGAAGCAAGTTCAAAGGATAACTCGATGAACAAATAAAGGAATACACAAGAGAGCGAGAACAGCAATAAATGCCAAGGAAAAATAATACTGGCCTAGGCAGGGGACTGAAGAAAACACATTTTTTAAGAAGACTTAGCGCTGCCTTAAGCAGGAGCTGAGAATTTTCTGTGGGTATATCTACAGCAGGTAGGATGGCTCATAGCTCAGTCTAGACAGACACACGCTAGTGCTGTTTGAGTGAGTGCGCTAAAAATAACACTGTAGCTGGGGGTAGCACAGGTGGCAGCACGGGCTAGTCTCCTGAGCCCCAAACCCACCTGGACCCCCGGGGTATGTACTTGGGTGGCTACCCCGGGCTACATGGCTGTTTCGAGCTAGCACGTGTCTGCCTACCCGAGCTGGGAAGCACGAGGGTAGACATACCCAAGCTGGCACCCCCCCTACAGGGTAAGCAGTGTCCCGTCATTGGAAGGGGTACGCTAAAGGCCCCATGAGGGTATTTTTCTGCCAACTCTGAGACTGCTCAGGCTTGTGTGTTGACTCACTCTCCAGGATCGGGTGGGGGGGGGGAGGAGAGGGTAGAAAGCCACCCACATCTCCCCTCCCTGGTCATGCTGAGCTCTGCTCCGGCACTCATCCCTCATCTGCTTGAGTTTCAGCTAATGTCCCCTGCTGAGGTTCCGTAGGTGCTGGGGGATGTGAAGTTTGTGAGTTAGATCTGTCCCGCTCTTAGCAGTTGAAGGCCAACGGGGCCATTACTGGAGCAGAACTGTCAGTGCCTCCCAGCACAAGGGCTTTCTCACTCAATAAACCACCTCTTTATTCCGACACTCTCTCTCCAAATATCACCTTGGCTCAAAGCTTCCTTTTTGGTGGGGAAACAACTGAGAAGGTTGCAGTGAAGCAACTCCCACCATATCTGGAGTACTCAGATGTCTTTGACGCGAGGTAGTTTGGTTTTAGCCCTGCATGGCTTGTCTGAAGATCTCCCGGAGATGGAAGACAGAGCGAACATTTGAGGTGATTTCTTTTAAATCTGGCAGCAGTACAGGTCATTGAAAATTGAGGGGGGAAATGATTATTCATGCAGAGATCTTTGATATAATTGACTGTCAAATGCTAGCT